ACATTTGGTTCCTTGCAGGTCTCTAAAGAGCAACGAAGCTCATCAATTCAGCTCACCACCAGGCAGCCCGACACCTGGTCAGCCTAGCACCTCACAATTCAGCTTGGCACCTGGTCAGCCCGACACCTCATAGGCAACTCGCCACCTGGTCAGCTCGGCACTATAGTCAGCTCACCACCTAGCCTGCCCAACTCAACTCAGCACGACAGCCAAAGTTCACTTCAGCCTGAATCATTGGCCACTTGGAAGCAGACCAAATGACGAGGTACTTAGCCAAAAAATCATACTTAACCAAAAATTGATTCATCATTTGGTGCCATTTGTGGGAAACGCTACAAAAAGCTTTCTCATCCTCTAAAAGGCTAAGTCATCTTCCTCTAGAAAGCTAAGTCCTCACTTTTTAGAAACTAAAACTCTCGCTTTATACTTTCCATTTTTTATGAACTCAAAGACTATGCAGGAAGTTGATAGCTAACAGACTAAGCAGCTCTACCAACTTTATTTCAACTCGGATAAAGCCTTATCAATCCTCTTCACGAGGTCCCCTCTACAAAGATGAGCTCTTCGTGGCGTCCGCGGGAGTTGGTGGTCAACAGACTGCATGGACGCCCTTGTTGGTCGAGCCTTCCAAGGCTCCCATGCGAGCTAGTGACCTAAAGTCAGTAATGCTGCCCCCATAGGTCGAGCTCCTAGTAGCTTCTTGTAGGAGTGGGTGATCGGCGTCATGAGGCTGATGCAGTGCAACCATTGCACTAAAGTACCGAACTGGTGAAGACCTCGATACCACATAAGACCCAATCGCCTCTTCGGCATGGGCAAGATCAAGGAGAGTGGACTACGAGTCACTCCCAAAGCCTAAGGGCCAAAATACCGAACTAGCAAAGACCTCCTCACCATATAAGACCCAGTCACCTCTTCGGCATGGGCAAAATCAAGGAGCGGACTGCGAGTCGCTCCCAGAGCCTAAGGAATTGAATCGACGCTTACGAGCTCATCGAATTATTCATCCCGGGCCAAAAGGAGAAATTTACTCCCTTCGCCGAGTTAGTTTCAGCTCGGGAGTGGGGGGCAAATGATGAGGGCGGATTTTGCCCTCCAATGACATTGTGACACATGGCACCTCAGAACAACTAGGTGACACCCGGAACCACTTTGGCAACAACTTGCGAAGTTGTCCAACATGGCGGCCTAACAACCTAGCACATGCGCCGACCTGGCGACCTGTGAGATGTGCTCGCCGACAAATTCGACATGCATACCCCACGATCCTTGGAGGTTGGCCCTCGTTCCGGAAGATGATCAACGTGCATGACAGCTACGTCCGAGGATCTCGGACCAGTTAGACACAACCTCTCGGGGATCTCGGGGGCGGTACGTGAGCAAGGCCTATATAAAGGCAGCAACCCCAATGATGGGGGGGGGGCAAGTAAGAAGCAAGCAAGTAAGCAAGTTCTAGCTCTCATACTTTGCGATTTTTAGCTCGTAGTTTACTATGAGAGTACTGACTTAAGCATCGGAGCGACCTCGCCGGGTTAGCCACCTCGGGTCCTCTGACATTTGGTTTCTTGCAGGTCTCTAAAGAGCAACGAAGCTCATCAATTCAACTCGCCACCAGGCAGCCCGACACCTGGTCAACCCAGCACCTCACAGGCAGCTCGGCACCTGGTCAGCCCGACACCTCACAGGCAACTCGCCACCTGGTCAGTTCGGCACCTCATAAGCAGCTCGCCACCTAGCCTTTCCAGCTCGACTCAGCACGGCAGCCAAAGTTCACTTCGGCTTGAGTCATCGGCCACTTGGAAGTAGACCAAACGACGAGGTACTTAACCAAAAAATTGATACTTAACCAAAAATCAATTCATCAACACCCTTGTTGGGTTCCTTCCCGTTGAACATCTCCTTCAGAAGCTGCTGGACCTTGGGAATACAAGTACTGCCTCCAACACAATCTTGTGAATGTCCATCTTTTTCAGACTTGCATCCTCTAGAGCTTTCTTCATGGGATCCATCCTCTTCTTGAACAAATTCATGTTCAGCTCTTCAAATCTCACCCTCGTCAATGGCTCCAAGAAATTGACGCCATCTAAGAGAGATTCAATCTCGAGGTGGACTTGGTGTTGGCTGCTTAGTTCTCACTTGGCGCGTTTGCACTCCCGACTGAGCTTTCCCAGAGCTTTGTTGTCCATGCTGATGTGAAGTAGTCCATCACTCTGTGGTCGAAGTCTTCTCCTCCCAAGTGGGTGTCTCCGCTGGTAGTGAGCACCTCGAACACACCATTGTTGATCGTCAAGATGTTGACATCGAAGGAGAATATCTGGTCAAGGTGAACTCACCGGAGCGGTCGCCAGTGCCGGAGAAGAAGAGCTCGGGTGAGGGGAGAAGAATGGGGTCAGGGGAGGCTAGTTCAAGCACGCAGAAATGTAGAAATGAGTATATGAGAGTTTTGACTCGGTTTTGGGCTAATACGCAGGAATGCCGACCGCGTGCGGAAGGGCAAATGGGCATGTGGGGCGTTTGTGGGGCGAGAGGCGGTGGGGCGGAGATGCGAACTCCTTTAAAGGAATTCTACGCCAGTTATAAATTCATAGCCCCACTTTAAAAATGCGGTCCCGCCTCTTATATTTAATACTGGCGTGGAACCTTATCATTGGTTCCACAGTCCGTTAAACAGCTAGCAACCTTGTTCACGAAATGGGCATGGGCATGCGCATGTGTGCTTAAAAGTAGCTATAATAACCAATAAGGAAATTTTCTTAAACTATCTTTACGGTTTAGCTAATTGACTAAGTGTACCCTTATTGTTTAAAAATTGACTAACACTATCCCTACTGTTTCTAGCAATTGACTAATATCTCTCTTACCGTTAACACCCGTTAAAATACTGATGAAAAAGACTATTTTACCCTTTATATTCTTCTTCAAATTTTCAAAATAAAACAAAGAAACAAGAAATCAAAAACCCTAACCACATTTACAGGGACACATTTGGAGCTAGGCAAATATGGGTGACCCAATGGAGAGTTGTTAACTGGGAGCAGAGGGGTTGTTAAGCAAAGCCATCGCCGTTCAACCCAACCGGCAAATTCAGGGCTGTCTGGCACTGCCGAGCTTAATCTATCCACCACCAGCACCACCATAGTCCTCCTCTTTGCTAGTCGTGCCACCTTTACTACCATAACTCCATGGAATTGTGAGTGATGATCAAGAGTAAGCATCGCCACCCCACACATCATATGGAAGCTTTGACTTATTTGTTAAGCAGCAAGCATCTCTTCCCCCATGCCCTCTACCAGCCCCATCAATACCCTGCGGAGTGCCATTTGTCTGAGCAGGGGGAGCGCCAGCCAAAGCTGTAGTATTGATTGTGGAACTGCTAAGTAGGCTTGTGTTGTTTGTTTTCAAAATAAATGACACATTCTTGGTGGGTGTTTTGAGCTAACAAAGACGATGGGCCACCAGAATCCTCTGCTCTCGTCACTCTGTTCTTCGTCAAAGACCATGTGGCAGCTATCAGAGAATACAAGGGGAGGATTGAATCTGAGCTCAGCAAGATCTACGATGGCATCCTACGTCTACTTGAGTCACACTCTCACACTTCATCCCTTCATCATTAGTTGTAGAATCGAAGGTGTTCTACCTTAAGATGAAAGGTGATTACCACAGGTACTTGGCTGAATTTAAGACTAGCGCTAAGAGGAAGGAAGCTGCTGAGAGCACATTAATGGCTTACAAGTCTGCTCAGGACATTGCTCTCACCAAATTGGCTCCCACTCACCCAATAAGGCTTGAGCTTGTACTCACCAGATCGTACTTGGCCGAATTCAATTCTCCCCTTATATTCTCTGATAGCTGCCACAAGGTCTTCGACGAAGAACAGAGTGACGAGAGTAGAGGATTCTGGTGGCCCGTCGTCTTTCTCCTTGCAGATTCAATAGGTGGGTGTTTCCATCACAATAGACACATTCTTGCTGAAACTAAAATCTCCACTAATGTTGATGGTGATTGAACATCCAACAACCGAGCAACTGAAGGATGAACAGAGAACTGCCGCAAATGCATCTCTGTCTTGATAATGAACAGAGAACTGCCGCTGCAACTTCTAGCAGCGACGACTCAAATGCATCTCTCTTCTCTCTTTCTTCCCCTCCACCTCCAGCCTCTCTCTCTCCCCTCTCTCTGTCTCTCTCCCCTTCTTCTCTCTTGTCACAGTTGGTTCGCTGTTGCTACAACGAAAATGGGCGCAACGGCAGCAAACCAGCATTCAGGGGTCCATCAGTTTAGAGAGAGGGTTTAAATGCAGTTGTTACTTCCAACAATTCAAATGCAATTGTTTCTTCCGTTAGTTCAACTTGCAGCTCGAGGATGATGTGTACAAAGAAGGGAATGGCAGTTTAAAAATCCTTCCCACCACAATTGCATCTCTCTTTGAATTTGCAGTTATTGGAGGAGTTTCAATGAACAAATGATTTGAAAGTGGACTCTGGGGTTTCTAACTGGGCACCAGAGGTTCCAATGGTGAAGGTTAAAAGTGGCGGTTCTAGCAGCGAAGATTCTAGCGGTTTCAGTTTCTTTTATTCTCTTCCTTCTCTTTTCTCTCTTTTTCCCTCTTTTATTTCCATTGTCGTTGCAGCTGCAGCTTCCGGTACCAGCACCGGTTTTCCCTCTTTTATTCTGGTTGTCGTTGCCGCTACCGCTTCCGGTACCAGCACCGATCTTGGTGGAAATGCATCTCTGTCGGAATTCTGACCACTCAAAGAAGGGGAGAGAGAGAAAGGGGGGAGAAAGGTAAAGGGTAAAATTGAGTTTTGAAAAAATATATTACAGATTTTGACGAAATATTAACGAACCTTAATGATAAAGGTAAAATTAGCCGATTGTCAATAATAATAAGGGTAGTGTTAGTCAATTTTCAAACGGTAAAGATATAATTAGTTAATTAGATAAATCATAAGGATAGTTTAAGAAATTTACTCAAAACAATAATTAATTATAAACACCGACCCCCTTTCTTGAGTTTCTTCTGGTCGTCTCTCTCTCCTTATTCGCGGGGAGTGGAGGGTCGATCGTTGATAGGATATGAATCCAAACTTCCAAACACCCTTTACACAGCTTCTTCTTCAATTTGTTTGATGTATGTATCCGTGCTTCCGAATCGAATCACCGACTCACCGTGGAGATTCCAGGTAATAATCCCTTTATGCTCTCGCCTTCTTCCTTCCAACAATTTCCTGCAAAATTTTATTTTAACCCTTTTTCTTCTCCGTTCTTATTCGATGTCTTTGGTCTTAGGTTTTGGACGATATATGATTCAGTTAGGGAGATTTTAAATATGGGGTTCCCAACTTCTTCGAGTTCGAGGTATTTCGCTTAAGCTTTAAATTTTCTGGGTTCTGCGATGGATCATTGTCCACAACGAGGTTTCAGTATTATGATGGGCGAAAGAACAAACAAGATGTTCTGTGTGCATGGGCTTCATCTGAAAGGCTATCGTTCTTTGTCGATATAGCTTCTTCTGATTCAAGTATTACTCTTTTAAGCTATTCCTAACGTTTATTGGTGCAAAACCATGCCGCCAACGTTTACGGCGATTACTTTAGATAGGTTGTTAGAACCTGGGACTCCAAAATCCGTTCCCAAGCTTCTTAATTCGAAGCTGCAGAGCCGAAAGCCATCCACAGAAAAGACAATTCAACGGCCATCGCCGAGTCTCTATGCCACTCCTGAGGCAACTCCTCTTCCAGATTCTCCATCGTCTTTTGCTCCTTCCCCATACATTGTTAATCACAAAAGACGTGGGCCTCGACTTCTCAAGACCGGTTATCAGGATGATGCCTCAGTGAAACAAGCTACAGAGGAAGTGAAGGTTGATGCAAATGAGCGGAACGTTGATATCGAGGTTGTAGGTTCAAAGGAGGATGTTACTGTTCCTCCAATGGTCTCCAATCCTTGTGATGATGCGGTTGTGAACGGTTTCCACGATGATAAGCCGGGGAGCTGTAATTCGAATGATGGGTTTGATGGGGCCGAGGATTCATCAAAGGTGGATGCGGCAGTTGATTTGGAGATTGAAGAAGGGGAGGATTTCTTTGATCCTCAGGAGTCCATGAGTTTCACCAGCAATACTGATTTGGAGGAGAGTAGCGGGCCCAAGCGTCCTATGAAGCTATGCACACCAATGGGCGAATTCTATGATGCTTGGGAAGGTGAACAATCTTCCTCTTCCTTTCTTTCCCTTTGTTAGACATAATAGGAGGAGGTTGTTATATGTACTACNTCCAAAAAACAAAAAAAAAAAAACAAAAGTATTAGGAGAATATTAATATGTTTTGATAACTATGCTGATAAAAAAATGTTCTGATAACTAGGACTTTTAGACATATTATCAGGGACTTGTATGCATTGCAGGTTATGTATGTACAATTGTGTATTGTACATTTTTGCTTACGTTCAGGTTAAAATGCAATTAGCAACTTATCCGCTGGAGGAAAAGCTCACGACATATGTTTCTTAAGCTGGAAATATCCTTTATATTGTCTACCCAATTAGCCTTTGTTCTTTTCTTTGGCATTTAGGTGGCTGTAATAAGGATGAGCTGTGGATACTTCATGTTTTAAAATTTTGTTGAGTTGGTTCATTTATTCAATCCTACGTGATTAGCTATTCCTATTATGCTATAAGAGTCAGCTCTGATCCTAATAACAACTTGCACTACAATTCTAAATCCTTTAGCATTGTCATCTATTGTATTTCCACTTACCAGTGCTCCTAGATGCTCATGTAGCATGGTGATTTTTTAATATTTTAAATGTAAATGCATTTGCCCTGGTTTTGATTGATCTAAATGATTCTCAAACACTTGGATTAATTAATGATTTCTTTTAGATCCATGTGTGGTATAATTCCTTTTGGAGTTTTTGACATGGGAAAACCTATGCTGCCAGAAAGGTATGATACGAGAAGAGCATTGACCAATCAAACTCCCCCGTGAAATTTGATGAAAATTGCCTGATTGATTACCACTTTTATGATACCGGTTGATTGGTTATAAGTTTTTCTGGTATCATGCCTCTCCAGTGTCATAGTCAAACCCTTTCAACAAAAGTGTTTTGACCTCCATGGGTTAAACTCACTCTTGAACTTGGATAGTTGTCAATCATGTAATTAGTTATGCCTTTTGGTTTTTAAAAATTGTGTTTTATATCTGGTAAAATATTGTGCTTTATATAATCAAACTTCTATTTCATAATTATAAAATAGGTAGGCTGACTCAAGCTTCTTATGCTGATATAGAACTCTCTAGTGAAGTTGGCCAACAGTCTGGTATTCGTGACATTGAAGCTGAATTGCGTGAGATAAGATTGAATTTGTTAACAGAGATTGAGAGGCGGAAGCAAGCAGAGGAAGCTCTCAGTAACATGCAAAGACAATGGCAAAGGATAGGGCAACAATTATCCCTTGTGGGATTGAGGCTGCCTACAGCTTCCATTGCTGCTGCAGAGGATGAAGATTTGGATTTTGATCTTGGAGAAGATCTATGCCAACAAATGTATATTGCACGGTTTGTATCCAATTCTGTTGGGAGAGGATCTGCAAGGGCTGAGATTGAGGAAGAGATGGAATCTCAGATTGAGTTGAAGAACTTTGAGATAGCTCGATTGTGGGACAGGCTACATTATTATGAAGCTGTAAATCATGAGATGTCTCAGAGGAATCAAGAAGCTATTGGTGAGCTTGTTTTTCTTCTCTACTTTCTACTTTTGTTATTCCTCATGTTTTCAAAAGATAGGTCTGATTTCTATTTCTTCACACTTAGTTCTTTTCTCTTTCCCCTTTTTCTTTTCTGAACCTGATCAGATATTACAAATATTCTTATATTTAATTTAATATAAAGCACTTTCATTATTTGATTTTTGTTTGTCACCATTAATATAACAATGGGGAATAATGTGTCAGATTATTTGTTTATTTCTTTTTCATTCAGTTGGAGCAAACTTTATTATTGTCATCATCATCATTATCTGTCTTGTCTCAAACTCCTACCTCATTTGGTTGGCAACATGGGTACCATTGCAACATTCTGTTCTTCCAAGATCATTTCTTTTGTTAAAGAACAAGGAAACAATTATTTTCCCATTATCTGAGCCCAGTTGGTGAGAATATTTGTCATGTTTGTGTAGGATTTTATTTATCTATTTATTAGCAGTAAGACATGCAATGGATATCAACAAATTTGTTGGGGGAGGGGGGAGGTTGGGAACTTGGGGTGGGGAGAGAGAGGTATGTGAATGAATGATAGAGGGATATATCTGAGCCCAACTGATGACAATATTTGTCATATATGTGTAGGATTTTATTTATTGATTTATTAGCAGTGGGACATGAAATGCACACCAGCAAATTTGTTTAGGGGTTCTTTGGGAGAGAAAGGGGAGAAATTTTAGGAGGTGCAATTAATAGTATCTATGCAGTGTTTTGTACAATTACCGTGTTTCCTCAATTGCTGAAAAATTGAAAAAAAAAGAGATTGAGTCCTGGGTTAATGCAAATCTTGAAGTACAAATTATGAGTTCAAGAACTGACTTACCGAGGCATTGTAAGTTTACATTTATGCACCCACTTGCACCATGATGAATTCTATTAAATGATTATTATGTGCCCATATTTACCAGGGGGTGTTTGGTGATAATGTTCCTGTTTCGGTCAAGTTGCTGCCACATAGGCAATCCAACTTTAACATCAAAAATCATGTTTGGTAGAGCAGATTCAACTTGAGATGGTAACACAACAGCTTGTATTGGGTTTTGCACACAGGGGGTGTTGGAAAAATTGTTAAATTGATGTTTTGATGTTTCTTCTGAATTAGGAAGGTGTTCCTCTATCAATTATCTTATGTGGTGCCTAGTAGAAGACACCATCGACTGAAGTGCCAATGATACCAAACACCATCCAAGTCTTTTCAACACATTGTTGATTCCGTGGTTAAACTGGCAACCCAGATGGCTGACCAGGTCCCAGGTTTTTGATGGTATTGAATGGTTGCCCAGCCAGCTTTCTGGGTGGGCATCTGATTCATTTTTCAAAGCCTTGTCTTTGCCTGGGTAGGTTAAACTAGATGTCAACCATAAATGGGAACTATTTGTTTTGGTTGTTGGTATGATATAGAATTGAAGCCGTGCAGGTTCAAGCAAACTCTAGGGAATATCTTTGTTGACTTTGAGATAATTCCCATATTTTTATTCAAATAGAAACAGAAACCTCACTGGACAGCTCCATCCTTTAAAAGCACTTTTTGGTTAGGACTAAAATTGTTTACTTTACACATTTATGCTTACTTTTCTTGGATGTTATATATCGTCAGATGTTCAAAAAACATTTGTTAGTGCGATTTTATTATAAATAATAACCTAAATGTTGTCACAATATGTAAAACATAAATTCTGTTGGTGCACACGTGAAGATGCATGGACACAGTTTTTTTTCTCTGCATGTGGCATATAAGTTGCATAAATTGAACTTACCTAAGATAAGTGCTCATATTTGCCAGAGAAAAATAATGAATGTACCACATAAAGATAAAAAAAAAGTACTACATGACCAATTACAGTTGTTAACTCTTTAAGCTCTGTCCTTTCTGCTCCTTTTCCTCTTTATTCTTAATATTTTGTTATTCCTTTTGTTTTGCATACATGAAGAGATGGCTCGACAACGTAGGCAAAGAAGGAAAAGAAGGCGGAAGTTGGTTTGGGGGTTGGTTGGCACAGCCATTATTGTTGGTGCTGCCGCGCTAGCATGGTCTTACCTACCTGCTTCAAGAGGGTCATCCACTACCAATCACTCTGATGCTCCTCGGGGTGATGATGCAACCGAGTTGTAAGTCTACTAACAAAACAGGGATAACCATGCCACAGAATAAATGGCACAAGAACAAGAAGATGAAAGGTCAAATACGCCACTGTTGGATTAATAATAAATTCTTTCTGCTGCCATCACAGGCTGAGTAGATGGACATAAATTGTATTGGCATCATGTATTGTCTCCCCAGTGGATACTCCACAATAATGCAATAATTTGGTATAACCCTTGTATCTACAATCCAAATTTTCTGGTTGGTTGTTGTGCTCTGTTGATTCACAATTCTTTTATAATGCACGGTTACACTTACACCCCCAAGGAGAAATATGTCCAACGTATGGCAAATTGGCAATGCATTGGGTATGTCCAGTTATCAGTATTGTTCTAATTATGCCCTGCTGTGGCTTGTTAAACCCATGGTGCTGCATTAAACACTTGACTCTACTCGAGATTGCACATCTATCATCTATCACAGTGGACAGAACTGGGATTGAGGGTCGGTATTTCTGGACCGTGAACCATGTTATGACATTAATTATGAAAATTATCTTAGCTTATTCAGAAATGCATTTATGGCTGATTTTAATTTTTAACTGCACGATTTTGGTGCTCCAATTTCAGAATTCATACTTGACTATGCATGGAACTTTATGGCCTTGATGCATGTGCTTCTCTAGTCCAGTTTAGTCTTTTGTTTGTGGCAAAGGTTCGGTTCAGGAATTGAATTTTATTATTTTCTTTTGAGAAATTGACAATACAATTATAATTGCATCGGTTAATAAATGTCGATAGCCTTAAAAAAATCACAAGGTCCTCAACATTCCCGTTTGTTTTTCGTATTCTGAAAAGGGGTGGGGTGGGAAAGTGAAAGCTGCATATAGAACGGAAACCCAAAGGACGGAAATTTCCCGTTTGTGGAAAAATACAAAGGACGGAAATTTCTGTGTTAAGTCTGCATATAGAACTCTCAACATACCAGAATGTGAAAGCTCAAGAAAGTTTATAAAATGGAAGACAATTCGATCTATACCAGTCTCGAAAATAGGGTAGAGGTGGACTGTAATTTTTGTAAAAGTCACCCAGAAACCCAGAAACACCTTTTCCTTGAATGTGCTTATGCCAATGCTGTGTGGTTCCAATCTCAGGTTGGTCTTGGCCTGAACCCCGAGGCTGTTCTCAGTTCAAACAAAATAGACTTACTCGATTGGTGGGAAAATCACCATGAAATTGGGAAAACCTTAAAGAAAGTTTTCTGGGAGAAAATATTTGCAATTATGAGAAGCATATGAGATGAAAGAAATGCAGTGGTGTTTAAAAAGAAAAGCCCAGATCCTGGAGAGGTCTGTCGAAGAATTATTGACTGCCTGGCTGGTACAGATCTGAATCTAATCGAACCAAATGGCTCTCAGCACTTGAAGGAAACACCACAGTGGTTTAACTGTTCAACACAATCTTTTGTTTGTGTCGATGGATCCTTTGACACCCACCAGTACGCACAAAGCAGCTACAGGTCTTGTGTTCTCATCAAGATGCTCATTTAATTGCAGAAGAACAATCTTGCCTTAGGCATAAAGCAGGTTTTTTTTTTTTTTTTTTTTGTTCTCAGATGCCAAAGAACTGTTGCTCAAAGTGAAAGGAACCTCCAGATTAATCGAATACATCAAATTACTGCTGATTTTTTTTGATAATATAACTCTAGTGTATACAAGAAGAAATGTAATTACAGCAGATCATGTTCTTTTGTTTCTTTTGATAATCCCCCTTCTTATAAGGGGGATTCAGATCATGTTCTTTTGTTTCTTTTGATAATCCCCCTTCTCATTGACCACTTTTTTCATATTCATTTTTGACGTTCATGTAGGATTCATGGAAAAATAGGTATCATTATCCATTTCAGGTGAATAATTAACTTTTTCACTTGAGAAAAAAGTTGACAAGATGTATTGAGACAATTTTGTTCATTTTAACAATAAATTTTTATGGATAAAATGCTCATTGTATAATTTATTTGAGAATCAAACAAACAAAGGTAAGTTCATTTGCCTGAATAAGTGTTTTTCAGATAATATTTACTTGGACAAAGTCAAGTAAATTCACTTACCCGAATAAGTGTTTTCCAAGTAACACTTGATAGGTAAGTAAATTATTTACCCCAGTAAAAGCATGTGTTTTATATATTTTATTTTTACTAATAAATATGCATGTGTATTGTACATGGCAATTTCAGATAACATTAATAATTTTAATATCTTTATTAGAGCCATTTAAAAAGGATAAATAATCAAAATAAGGTATGTTGGTGGATTTAGATTTTATACTTCATTTTCATTATTAATAAAAATACTTCTTATTTATCATATTTATTTTTGTTTAAGTTGGTAAATATATAATATTAGAAATGTGCACAAAGCTTATAGACTATTTTTTGTTTTTTCTATATTTTTATTTCTATTTATTTTTTGAATTTTTATTATATAATTATGGCACCATGTTCTAGCATGTTTTACTTGAAAAAAATCAATCTCATTTTTGGAAAACTTTAAAATTTTTATTTGATTTACATAATTAATTTTAAAAATAATTCTTGTTTAATACACTTATTTTTGTTTGATATGATAAGTTTATAATATTTAAGATGTGCCAAAGTTTTCTTTAAATTTTATGTATTTTTTTTTTAATTTTTTGTGTTTTTATCTATTTTTTAAACTTTTATTATGGCAATATTGATTAACCCATTTACTCAAACGATTGAACCATTATGGTGTAAGTCAAGTAGCTTGGGCTGAATTTAATCTTAACCCATACCCAATCCTATGCATTGGACTTAAGGCTTTAGACCAAAGTCAAGCTTGATTTTTTCAACTTGGGCCCAACTTGCGTTGAAATTTGATGCACTTGGATTACTCTTAGACTTTGTTCTTTCAATTAGCTCCATGACAAAATTTGACATAAAATGTATGTGTATAATTTGCATGTATGCAAATATATGCTATATATGTATTTATAATTGTATGTATATAATCAGGCTTGACTTTAGTTACCTAAGGGCTAGGCTTAGGCCCAACTTAAAAATTAAAAATCCCAAACTTTTGAACTTAGGCCTAGGCCCAAGTCGATGACGAAAAATTGAAACTAACCTGTCTAAAATTACAAGTTGGGTCAATTCAAGTTTGATTTAAGCCCACCTAATTTGCCTCCCCGTGGACCGTTGACCATCAATTAGATGCGGAAATAGTTTTCTTCTTATGTAACTTACTTTTTAATTCTATTTTTATCATTAATAAAAATAACTCTTATTTGTCACACTTATTTGTGTTTAATATGATGAATACATAATATTAGAGAAGCACACCAAATGTTTTCTTTACAAAATGTTTATGTTTTAATTCTTTTTGTGTCTCCATCTTTTTTTAACTCTTTATTATTTATGTATTATATCATGGGTTGGGTTGATCAATTTTATCTAAAAGATTGAACCATTGACCCACCCAAAGTTTTAAAAACCGACCTACTAGAACTGTTTTGGGCACCAGTCTACAGGTCGACGATTCGACTATCCAGTTTGAATGGCCTGTTGTAACAAAAAAATAAAAAATAGTTAAAAACCATTGAATGGGATGAACATGTTGACGGTTCGACTGCTTGGGCCAACAGCTCATTGACCAATTCAACGGTTTTTTGGCCAAGGACCGATTTTGGGGTAAAATGAAACTGGTTGCCTAAACGGTTCCCACGCCAAACAGTTGGACTGTTTGGGTCAACGACGGTTCGAAAAACATTGGACTCACCACTTGAATAGAAAAATGATTTTGTTTTTGGGTCAATTTTAAATCTTCTATTTCATTTCCGTCGAACAAAAATACTTTTATTTAGCATGCTTATTGTTGTTTGATATGATAAATAGATAATATTAGAAATATGCCTAAAATATAAGATGTAATGTGCTTTAAATATAAGACTTAATGAAAGGAAATGAGAGTTGATACCTTAAATATATAACTTAATGATGAAGAATATAACAAATTTAATAAAAGTAGTAGTTCAAATTATGTTTTTTGTCATCATAACAAAGGGAAACTAAGTTAAAAGAATAAGGGTATTGAGAGGGATGTTGATGTTTTAGTCAAGAAGTCCACAAAGCTCATTTATTTAATATATATTAAATATAAAATTTAATGAAAGTAAATAAAAGTTAATACCTTAAATATAGGACTTAGCGAGGAATATAATGAATTTAATAAAAGTAGTAGTTTAAATTATATTTTTTACCATCATAATAAAAGGAGATTAAGTTTAAAAAATAAGGGTACTTTAGAGTTGCTGACGCATCAAGTCTTCCAAATCAAATATTTAGAAGGTTAAAAATAATATCACCATCATCAATATCCATGCCTTATCCCAGCTATATGGGATCAATTAAGGTCAAAAATAATATGGGATAAAATCATAAAAACCCCTCTCGAGGTTTCACCTTAACAAAAACATTCCTTACAATTTTGAAAAATCTACATTCACCTCCCTTTTATCATTGTCCCAACAACGGAGATTTGGAAGTGTTCTCACTATTCATTAGGGCATCTTCTAATATAATTCAAAGTACCAAATTTGTCCTTCTACACTTCACTGATCCTTATGATCTTATAAAGTAACAATATATACTCTTTTCAATCTGACCCAAGGAAATATTTATTTAAAAGTTATTTCAGGGGGTATTTTAAGTAAATCTATGGGAAAAGTAGGCATTTTCAAAAGTTAATGCATTAAGTCAATGTTTCCATTTGGGACAACGAGGAAAGGGAGGTAATTGTAGGTTTTTTTCAAAATTAAGTGAGAGGTTTTTGCTAAAATGAAACACAAGAGGTTTTTATGATTGTCATAAACCTCAAGAAAGGTTTTTATATTTTATCCAATGATATATTGGGGTTAACTTTTTGCATTGCCATGTATCCCAAACAATGATAGTTACAATGGAGATTGGATTCAAAGCTAACAAGACTGTGTTCATACCGTTTTTACAGTCTTCTACAGCTGTGTATTGGGAATATCTCCATACTTTATGTTTTTTTTTTCATGAAAAGATATTTCCAATGCAAGACTACAAGAAATTATGCAAGCGGTGTGAGCACAGTCTTGTGAGGACTAGATCCAATTTTCATTACAATGATCATTGGTGGGAATTGGTAAAACAATTAGCACTCATTGACTCAAGTGTTTGAGTTGGGGAGAGTATCCGTTCTTCTTTGGCATTGGTCGCCTCGCCGATGGACCATTATCTGTGTCCAACTCCTTTAGTTGCTTTTTTTTTTGTAGGGAAAATC